ATCTCTCGCTCCCTCTTCTCCCCTTTCTCTATCTGCAACGAAGGTTGACATCGATAAGTTCGCGTCGCGGTGAGAGCGATCGGGGATCGATAGCGCTTTTTTTGCACCTGCAGCGTTCACGTGAGAGTCACGACGATTGCAGTCGGCCGCTCACTCGTTTATCACGTTACCAGCGCGCGCGCGCGTGTTGTCGGTTATTACGTAAGCGGTTACCTCGTTAAGTTTCCTACGCGTTTTCGCGTACCGGAACATCCGTTGTGTGTGGTCGCGACGCAGCATCCATCTTCGTGTCTCCCCGACGGAGAGACAGAAGCGAGAGCTGCAATCTCGGCCGGCCATCTGCGGATTTCCGCGTGCACGGCTATTTATTCGGTATTCCGTCGATAATTACACGATTCGTCTGGATCGCCAGACCTATACCTGGCATTTCCCGTGATAACAGCCGTTGCCGCTGCTGCTGCTCTTTTGCTCGCGCGCAATAGCGTTATCTACGCAGACGACAAATCCGATTTAATGGAGTTTGCGTGGAACCTAATTGTGGCATCCTCTCCGCAGCGACGGCTGCGGCAGCGCGTACTAACTGTGCCATTTGCTCCAATAAAGACTACGACGCGATAAAAATATTATAACGTCAAGGTCGCGCGTTCAAGTATTACTCGGCCACGCGATTCGCCGCGGCACCCTCCGCGATATTTCTTCCGCCGCGCGAAGTCGCCACGCGTCCTTCGATGTGTCGCCGTTTATCGCGGAGGAAACGTGAATTCGTGGTCTCTCTAGGTCCTATACTCGAATGACGATCGAACGACGTTGCGCAATACCGCGGCTAAGTGACATTTACCGCGGGAACTGAAGTTTTAACGATCCGCAGATCCGCGACGCGGTTGACTTTGATATCGATACCACGTGCAAAGCGACGCGTTTCGCCGTTAATTACGCGTACATTATATCGCGCAGAGGGCGCGATTATTAATTCGGGAAATCGCGGATAATTGTAAATCGTCGCGCGACAATCTTCCTACCTCCGTCCATGAGATACGACTCGGAGTCCCGATAAAATTTCTTCCTGTTCCGCGTTGCGCAATCCTTGCGACACGAATCGTAATACATGTTCGTACGCGCATACGAAAGAAGACACTCTGATCCTTGTCTATGGAAAGTACCTTTATTTTTCATATGTTAATCTTTAAATGAGATTACGTATCGTTAAACGTGGATGAGTTGCTCGCAAGAACAGGATTTCTAACGAGAACATGCACTCATTTCATGTAAATTAGAACCAAACTGAACACAAAAAGTATCTTTGCTACTTTGCATACCTTTGCATACCCACGTAAAATTTCGAGTTATTAGTTAAAGAAAATTGGCGAATAATCGCGTGTGATATTGTGAATGGAGCACAGCCTGGGTCACGCTAATTAACCCCTTGACTATGGAGGCAGAAATGAACTAGTCGTGCCATTTTTGTGTTGGAAAAAAATGTTGTCGAATTTTCTTTATAACATTATTATAAAGGTTTTTGGGGTCGTTGAATCCGAATTTGACATAAAAAATAATCAGATTTTCATAAAAGTCGGTATTTATGTTTTTGGGATCACTGAATCCAAATTTGATATCAAAATTTCAAAATCCAAAATGGCGGATCGAATATAGCGGATCTAAATTTTGAAAATAATCAGATTTTCATGAAAGTGGGTGTCTGAACATTTCGTCTGAACAAAAAAAAAACACAAACATTATAAAAATAAAAGAAATTAAAAATTATAAAAACAAAAAAAATATATAAAAATGGAGTCAAAAACCGCTACGTCCTCGTTTCGTGACTCCGGGTCCGGCAGAGAGCGGTATAAATGTTTTTTTACTTAAAAATTTTTTATTCCACTATTTGAAATTTTGAAATTTTGATATCAAATTCGAATTTCAGCGACCCCAAAAACATATAAATACCCACTTTCATGAAAATCCGATTATTTTCAAAATTTTCACCCGCCATATTGGATCCGCCATTTTATATTTCGAAATTTTGATATCAAATTCGGATTCAGCGAAAACATATATTTATTTATGCAAAGAACAATAGTTTTACTATTTTTTTCTTCGATGCGTGTATACAAGTCATCCACACTGGTAGCACGATTTTTTAATGCGCGTATACACGTCATCTACAGTCAAGGGATTAACGTATTCCACTTCCCTCTAGCCTGTTGTTGCTCAACGCTCGACGCTCGACGTTCGTTTAATGCAATGTTACTTTACTCGAGCGTTGAGCGGTGGTAGGCTATAAAGAAGTGGCGCAGGATATGCTGATTAACATTCAGACACAGTCCCGCTCCATTCACAATATCACGCGCGATTATTCGTCAATCTTCTTTAACTAATAACTCAACATTTTATGTAGTTTTATGCAAAACGTCAGAGGGACTGTTCGGTTTGGTCTAATCTACACGAAATGAATATATATTATCATTAGACATCCTGTATATTATATGATTTAATAGAGAAAAACGTGTGTTCTTATTGTATAAAAATAATTTTTTTATATAGAAAGTACAAAATATCGAATTGAAAATATAATGTCCTTAGTCGGAAGAAGATATCATTATTATTCAAATAATCATATTATACTTCTTAGCTATTATAACATTCGAATAAAATTATACCATTATTGAAATCCATAAGACTATAAAGTTCCTCCAACAAAATTATATATCGTTGCTTATACATAAAACAATCATTGTTTTATATATGAAACAATAATATAGATAATTTGAGAACATTAGTTTGAAGTGGATAGAGGAATTTGGGACATACATACACACATACTTAAATCGTATTCTTAATCCAATGTTTTTCCGCTAATGAAAATGATCTTTGAATAAGAGCACAGGTTTTTCTTCGTTGAAAATCATGTAAAATCCGTTCTTGCAAGTAACTTATTCCTGTTTGACGCTATATAACCTCATTTGAAAATTAATGATGTTAAAAGTAATTATATTCTCCATACACACAAGGATATCTTTTTCTATGAACTACACATAGTATTTACAACGCTCGTAATCACACGCAGACGTGTACTCGTAGTAGGCCGCGTCTTCCTCCACGTACGTCATTGCTCCAGGGTTAAACGCTCGCGGAGGAAATGACAGTGATTTAATCGCTTTCAGTTTTTGCGGCGAGTTAACGGTCGGCGCGTTGAGTCACGATCGTTGTTGCGCGTCGATTTGTTCGATCGCTTCCGAGGCGGTGTATCGCCTCCACGATGGCACGGACGGGGTAAAGAGATCGGCTTCTGGCGTGATCGATCCGGAGGTCCTTCCCGCGACCGGCCGGCCTGTCCGCCGTGTGAAATATTAAAAGGCCGCCTCGTGCTTGCACGTGCCGCCGCCTGATGGCTGCGCAGCCGGTACACGTCGGCTGAGATAAAAAGACATTCCTCAAACTGAAATACTCGCACGTACATCCGCGCGCGGCCGACGTAATTATCCGGCCAAGCAGACCGAGTGGTCGAGTGCTAATCGACGTCAAAGAGGCCCGCCGCCGTTTGAAGGAATCGCGCGGCCAATTGAAGCGAGTGCCCGCGACGTCGCTCGCCGGGATTACTGACTCTCGAAATTGATTTAACGACTGTATGACAGTTGCCTGCCGGCTGACGCGTTTCCATCGCAAAATCAATTTCGATTCCCCGTTTCGACAATCAGGCTGCGCCGCGTCCCGCGCCTCGCCGCTCGTCCCTGACCTAATCTATTCCACGTGAAAGCCGCCTCAACAATGTTCTTTTCCCCGACTTTCACTGCTTGACATTTCTGTGGCGCCGCGCTGCGCCGCGCTGCGCCGCGCCGATCGCTTTCCAGCCTTTCGATTTCCACGCGCGATGCGCAGCATCCGGCGTGGTTTCCTGCGGATCGATCGCGCGCGCGCCATCGTATCTCCTCTTCGACGCTGGCGCGATCAAAGCCAGCGACACCATCAACCCCCGGGGCGACGCGAGAGAGAAAGGGGGAGGGGGAGGGAGGGAGAGAGAAAACGAGGAGAGCGAAAAGGAAACGCGGCCGAGCACGGGGGCGGCGGGAGGTGAGAAGCGAGATGACGCGCTGCGAACAACTACACGCGTCGAACACGCTCGGCCGAACAAAGAAGGCGACTATTTTGGTCCGCTGTTTCATGGAAGTGACCCAGCACCCAGCGTACGGTCGCTCGATCCCTTCGTATGTAGGTCGCAAGCTGCCGCGCACTTCGTTGCGTCGGTGTGTTGTTTGCGCTCTCGCGCGAGCCTCGTTCCAAATTTAGTGACACTCTTGTCTGCGCGCGAGGAAGAGAGGGAGAGAGTCTTCCACCCCCTTGCAACGGGGTTTTTGGCACTCTCTCGAAAGGTTTCAAGGACAACGGCAGGACGCGTCGCCTGTTGTAGCGAGTGGTCTTAATTAGCAGGGCTCCGCCACGTGTCACACTCAAGAATCGCGCGGATTCGCCTGAGGGAAGTCGCCTCAAACATTGGTATCGCGTGAATTCAAGAAGGATCACTTCGCCAAGTCACGTGCAATCATTAACAAAAATGACTACGATAATAAAAAAGGAAGACAGGGTGTTTAATTCCGTCCTTGTCTTAAACAGGTAGCGAAGACCACGTGTCGCTCCTAAGAACCGCGCGAATTCGTAGGAAGACCCATCTTGAATATTAATGTCGCGTAAATTAAAGAAGAATCGTGCTGTCCAAATCGCAGGTAATCGATAACAAAATTCTTTTGATAAGAAGGAAAAAAGAGAGAGATGTTTGACCTCGTTTCGAAAATTATTTTAGCATTTTTTCTCACTATCTCTCCGATTTTCATTATCTTAATCCTAGATAATCCCTCGAACGAACTTCTAGTTTTCAATGATTGAAAGAATTGGACCGGTTTTAGATCGTGGTTGTTCTATTCCATGAGCCGACCAGGTAACATGGATCGAACATCGACGCTGGGGCTAAGAAGGTAGTGGGGAAAGGGGGGGGGGCGAGGGGGGTAATCGAACTCGAAACTGGGTCGCGACCGTTCGATCAGCACCGGCGACAGTCAGCCTCGATGCGCCCGGTCAGGGTTTTTCGGTGTTTTCCACGCTGCCTGTGGAGATCTCGAAATTCATGCCGCGACTTTTAACGCGTGGGCACACACACATTCACCGCCTCGCCTAACAACACGCGACAGCTCTCAACTCTAACCCTTTTATTCCGCGACGGCGCTTTGAAGTGCCGCGACGATAATGAGCGAGGCACACATAGAGCTAGCTGATAACTGTAGCTAAATAATACTCGCGCGAGTGCAAATAGGACGCGCGCAGCGTATTCTACTTGTGTCCGCGAGTATTGACTCGGCACGGTCCTTGATACTTCTGTAAAATAGCGGCGATTCCGAGAAGTGGACTCAATAGTCACAAAGGGACTATACGCGGATCGAGCGCCGCATGGTCGACGACTCTCAGTCTTGCGGTATGTAAGAGCTCCTCCTAGTTTCAGAAGTCGACTGTGTGAGCTATGTAGAGGAGAGAGAATAAAGTTTTCAACGTTGAAAGCGTCAATTTCATTTTGCCATTGTTGTACGATGCGTAACCGAGCACGAAGCTCTATTCTTCCTCATTTCACGCTATCTTTCGGACGATCTACTTTCGCGCGGGCCTATCTTCAAATCGGAAAAGATGCCGCGGGCGGAGAGCGCGCAGCGCGTTAGTTGTTTTTCCGCGTCTAATTAAAGGTATCCTCGGGACGCGCGCCGGATATACGGTTTGCGTAGTCGCGACCGCAGCTGGCCCCGTATGCTAATTAATCTTCCGAGGTTAGAACAGCTCGCTCTAACGGTGCTGGAGCGCAGACGGCGCGGCGCGTTAGTCTCTGGATTATGAGTCTGGCAAATTGAAAGACGAGAGAGAGAGAGAGAGAGAGAGAGAGAGTCTCCATGAACTATTCCTGCGAAATGCGACAAATGGTGTGTAGGGGTTGGCGTGCATCTAAATCACTCTCGCGAGCCCTCGATACGCAGAAACGAGTCGCCGCACGCGGATGTAGAACCCGTTCGCGCTAAATACACTGGCAATTACAATTGACCGACATCCTGCCCATCCACTATTGGGAGATCAAAGTGCCGCGCTCGCTTCCGTATTATTCGCGGAATCGCGGACGCCATAGAACGCGAGTTCGCGTGCCGTTGTTATCAGCGTAACATTTATCGCACAGTGTCGTCGGAGCGACGCATACGCTATCGTTCGCCGAATCGTTTGAACGCGGCTCTGGTGAACCTCTCCTCGCGACAATTCACGCGCGAACGCGCGAAAGCGCGGTGGAAATAGTTCCTTGGCCGTGCAGGTGTCGGATCTCTCTGTCATCGGAGCCGTTTGCTTCGCAAAGTCGCGCGGAGTGGATGTGCGAATAGCATTAACCCATTGAGGCTGCATAATGAGTCGGACTCGTGACGCATACTTAAGTCCAAATATGGAAATGAGTCAGGCTCATTGTGACTTTTTGCGAGAGAATAGATAGATAGCTCACAAAGAATTTTCACTTTGAATATTGTCATGTTTGTGTATGCAACAAATATTGTAACAAATTAATATGATATTGTTAAATTTATATAATATTTTATATAGGTAATTATTATATTTATTTAAAATATTATTATATATAATTCATCAATTTAAAAAAAAGTGGTTATCTTCAACAGAGAATATTGTCTTAATAATAGCCTTAAAATTTATTCATCACAAATTGCAGAAAGGTTTATATTGTCGTGTAAAGAAACTCAAATGAAGAATTAATTTTCTTTATTAAGAATATTATGGAATTTATCGAAGAAAATGTTGATTCGACTCTATGTGTCTAGTAAGCAAATCAATTTTTTGTTCAAATTTTCTTGATTGAAATGCTAAACTACCAAAGGATTCAGAATGTACTTTGAATAAATTTAATGGACTTATGACGAATTTCTGATAGATTTGCGTATATATAAACTTATGAAATACTTGAAATATTTATCTGAATGTACGGTATATATTTTTCTGTGTGTACAACTTCAGTATAGTCCAGCTTTACAAAAACATTATAAAAAGAAATACAATATTGACAATAATTGACAATAATTATTACTATAACGTTTCTTTCGCGTATGATCATATCTTAAAAAAAAATATTACGTCGCATGTAAAGCTACATAATGCGGAAACAGATACGGTCTCATTGGGTTAATGGCGCGATACATATATTCTCGCGTGACGCGTCTGGCGAACGTCTCACTCGGTGTCCTCCTCTGTGCTTCTGCCCGCGAACAAGAGAGTTCGCGCACTAGTTACTAGAGGAGGAAGAACTCGACGAACGAGTAGCTAGTCGAGTCGGTGAAACATGTCCGTTCGACGGGGATAGTCGCGTTTGTCCACGAAATTTAGGTCGAGCCGTGCCCGCCAGCGAAACTCCGTAGGTTTCCTTCGAGGAGCTCACCGCCGCCTCTTCCGTCTTCTCGAAAGGACCTGCTCTCTTCGCCGGTCGTCGCCCACTCGGCCGGCCGGATAATTCGCGTTTCGGCACGTGCAAATGTCGCGGTCCTGTCGCTCCTCACGGCGACGAGAGAAAGCGATTGTCTTCGAGATATGCGCGTAACACTTTCGGCAGGAACCGCGACACCTTCGCAATTGCGCGACATCTTCGCAGAGCGCATTTGCGTGGACGCGGTTTGCAAGGATCCAAATAGGATAAACCATCCAATTATGGACAACCTTAGTCATTAACAGTCCAGAAAATAATTCAAGTTTTCCTATGATCAACATTGTAGTTAAACTTTTTATTTTTGCACTTTACGAGTGCAAAAGAGAACTTGTCAATTCGTGTTTAATAGGGTGCGGTCCAACAAACGCTGCGCAGCGTTTCTCCCTCTTGTTCTATTCCTCGGATTCGAATGAAGAAAGAGAAAGAAGTAAAGACGCTACAAAGCATTTGCAGCGCCCGCTGGACCATAGTCGTTACTTGAAACTTGCCTCAAGTGAATCCCAGGAATGCTCAGATCTAAATTTTGAGTTAGATGTGAATTTCGACTGAATCGCGACTACGAAGGTATATGGGCGAGAAAATTACATGATTTAAATAAAAAATCCAACTCTAAATTCAGATTGGAGCACTTCACGTGGAGCAAAGTTCAAGTAACGATTATTAATACCGGTTTGAAACTGTGAACGTCGCTAGGTTCAAAAACATCAGTGACTAAGGAGGTTTAATAATTGGATATTTTCTCTATTTTATTTTGCGGTGGATAATTCGTGACTACGTTTCGGCAGATGTGATGATTCTCGCGATGGAAAGAGAGAAAGCGATTATTTTTCGAAATACACGATGCTTTCGAGCAAAAATCACTGACTAAGGCCCGTTAATAGTTATTGCTTGAAATTCGTCTCAAATGAGGTACTCAAATTCTAATTCAGAGTTAGATGAGAGATTTACAGTTGAATCATGGTTTAAAATACAAATGTCACATGTATCATAATTCAACCGAAAAACTTGGATGTGACTCTGAACAAAAATTGGGGTATCTCACTGGAGACAAATTTTCTAAGTAATGACTATTAATACGTATCTGAGGACCAATAAGTTATTTGAAATTCACCTCAAGTGAGATTCTCGGACCCAGAGATAAGAATTAGATAAGAGTTTTTCAGTAGAATCGTGCGCTTACAAATACAAATGTAACATATGTTACAATTCGACTGCAGAACTTGAATCTAACTCTGAATAAAAATCTGAATATTTAACATAAATCAGATCTCCGCTGACAAGTATTAATACACGTTTAAGAGTGCCTGAGTGCAGACAGGCGGTTTGCAAAAAAAGTCCTTTTTATGATATGCATATCGCGAATACACGTGTGCCGCGGCTCTACATGCCCCGGTGACATTACGTGGTTCCGCGGATCGCTCGTTACGTATTCAAATTATTTCCACGGAATCAGTTATCGTCAGCGGAACTGAAAGTATAGAGCCCGCGAGCTCGATACGTGCGGTAGCTCCCGCACGTTCATTCCGTTCACCGAGCTTATCGACGAGATCGCGGCACTCAGCCCTAAGCATCGATCACCGTTTGCTGCACGAGCTCACTCAAGGTATATCCTGACGTCATCTGTGTGTGACGCCGGCAGGAAATAGAGCCGGCCGTCGGGTATAATTCAGTAAAAAGTGTCGAACGAATCGCGAATTGTCATCAAGTCGCTCGATCCGCGCGCGTACGAAAGAACGAGATTAATAAACTAGATGCCGCGTTTCGCTCTTGTATTCGCTCGATAATCTTCGTGTACCGCGCCATCGAGCAATCTTGCATAATCGACAGACACGAGCTGAATTCAGAATGGCAACAACGAGCCGGAGCTTTCCTCCCCGCGATATTTAATAAGCGCCTTCGCCTTGACGGCGATAAATACACCGAGTGGTAATAACGACTGCGTAATGACGACTGCATCATCGACAATGATTGCTGACTCCGCGGCGGAGTCACTAATTCCGTGCATTAAAAAAAAAGAAGTTTGCGGCGAGAGACTGCTTGGTAATTCACGCTCTTTTAACGATGTTTTTCTATGCAATTAGACGTGGCGCGGCGCGAAGAGCCAAGACACCAGGTGTCTCGTGCCCGAACCCGATATCGTCGCGACGACATTCGGCGGAGTCAGCGGATCGTGTCGCGTCTCTCCCGCGCTCGTCACCGCGACCAAAGAGACGACGTATTAGGAGCGCACCGTGCCTAAACTCGCGAAAGTGCCGCGCACGCTCGCGTATATAATTTCGCCGCCGCCGCCGCGCGCGCGCGACCGGTTGTCGATCAAGCGCTTTCGTAAGAAACACCTGCGAGTCATTATCCCTCGCCTACCTTGGCTTTCCCCCGGCCGATTCGATTTGCCCGCGCAAAAAAGGCCGCGCGCTCGCCGCTCTAAGCGATGAATGGATGATTGTCGCGCTGGCGGGCGGACTGCACGCGAAGAATTCATTTCGCGAGAAGGATCTGCTCGATGACGACGACGATCGTGGCTCGAACTGCGACCGGGTAGAGCCGACGGGACTTTTCGCCAATCGTTTACATCATGTTTTCGGAGACTGGAGTGAAAGAGTGAGTCGTTTTCTCCGTCTCACGTGTGTGAAATTAGCCCCGCGTCTTCAAAATCTGATAGAAGTAAATAGAGTTTCGTTTGTAGAATTCTAAAGTTCTTCATCGGTTTTAGGAATAGTTCTAAAGAAGAGAATAGTTCTTTAGAAGAGATCTAGCTTATCTTTAGTACCAATGCAGAAACTTTCAAGTTTATTAGTTTAACCATTTTTGCAGAGTTCTCAGAAAACTATTTAGTGGGGATTCTAAAGAAGTCTAATAGAAATGATGACTTTTAAAAAATGAGGGCTTTGTGAAGTTGCTATCCCTTCTTCTTTTTTCCAAGTTCAGCTTAATTGTTTTATATAACCCAGGTAGCACATACACGTATCAGAAACGTTTTTTAAAAGTAGTTTTTTTTTTCAGAACCGTAAAGCACCAGTAAAAAACGTTTTAACAAGAACCTCTCTGAAACTTTATTTGTGAATCGTTTATAAAACATGAATGTTTATGAAACATTCATAAAACGTTTTAAAACGTTTATAAAATGTTTCTTCAACGATTTTTTTCGCAAAAATAACATTTAACGTTTTTTGAGTGAACATTTTTATTCATGAAAAACGTTTCAGAAACGTTATGAAACGTTTTGGAAACGGTTATGAAAGGTTTGATTTTAACGTTTATAAAACGTTTAAACATTTTTAAAACGTGTGGGTGCTACCTGAGAAGCGTCAGGACTATTTCTAAAATCGAGAAATTGAGAATTCTGAAACTTTTCGGGGAGCAAATAAAAAATTCCACTCATTTTTGTGAAATTTTGAAAATAAGGGACTAATCACGTCTCCGTCTCGTTTTAAGGGACTAATCACGTCTCCGTCTCGTTTTTTCGTCGCGAAGCTGGTGCCTCGCCGTGGTTCTTATCCGTCGAAGAGCGCGAATCTTTAGGCTAGCATGCAAGGCCACCGCGACCGCCCCGTAAAAATTTACAAGATTTATGTGACACGACACACGCGTGGCGTCTGTAGGAGCGTATCAAATAGTTATGGCGGCTTAACAGATCGCGCCGCGAATAAATTTGCATATCTTGCGGTCCCGCGCGCGATCTGCACGAGAACGCTGTCGACGGTTTTAATAGTCAGCACACTGACCAATATTCCGAACGGATTTCGCGCGACGGCGATGATGACGCGCGAACAATCTCTCCGAGCGCGCCGCCGCCGGAGCCGCGACTTTGATCGGTGCGTTTACCGCGCGCACGCGCGCGCACGCCGGTCTACGGTAAACGCGACTCGGTAAGGCCTGGAAATAGCAGCGGAAACGGGCATCTTGCAGTTTATACCAGATATTTTAACGCCTCGACATCGTCGACATCCTACGTCCATAAATAGATCCTGTATTTTCCAAGCCGTTCATTCGCGCGCGCGCGCGCGCGCGGCGAATTGCGCCGTCTGCGGCTCCCGGCGCAGCGAATTTCGCGCGAAACTTGCGGGTCGCGTGAAAAGTAAGGCGCTCGCCCCGACACGCCAACTTTTCCGCGAAAATTCAATAAAGGAATTCAAACTTCAACCGCTGCCGATCGGCAGTTCTGCGGTGAAATACTAAGTTCCTTTTGATCTACTTAAATTATCGTATTCCTTTTTAACTCGTAGCAAATTAGATATAATACAGAAATTGATAACTCTCTAAATAATAATATTAAAGGAAAATAGGCAAGTGAGAGTCAGTGTTGTGTGATGTACGAGCGTATTTTTATTTTTAAATGAAAATTATATATATAATTAATATATTATATTATATATATATAATAAATATTTATTATATTATTTATTTTATTATATTATTATATATATAATTAATATTTATTTCCTTTTTATTTTCCTTGAGAGTTTAAAAAATAAAATCCAAAATATATATAATTTGTATATTTTCTTGACTAAGCACACACACACACATTTATTTCCTCTTTACTGTTATTTTCTTGGAAGAGTTTTGAAATATAGAATATATCTAATTTGATTAAAGGAAAACAATAGGCAAGTGAGAATCAGTGCTGATGTACGAGCGTATTTTTATTTTTAAATGAAAATTGTAAACGTTTCAGTCCTAATAATTTGGACCCTCTTCTGTACAATTAATATTATAGTATAAATCCGATGCCAATGATGTCGAATAGGTGGACATTGTCAGTTACCTTTAGGAAATTAATAAAGAGAAATGGAAAAACAAATTGAGTATAGCAATAAATTACAGAAAAATGGTTTGCAAATTTATACAAAAATAAAAATTATAAAAAAGTGAGATTTTTCACCAATTTCTTTCCATTTTTCTTTATTAATTTCCTAAACAATGTAACTGACAATTTCCGTCTATTCGACATCATTGGCATCGGATTTATACTATAATATTAATTGTACTGAAGAGGATCCAAATTGTTAGGACTAAAACGTTTACAATTTTCATTTAAAAATAAAAATACGCTCGTATATCAGCACTGATTCTCACTTGCCTATTGTTTTCCTTTAATCAAATTAGATATATTCTATATTTCAAAACTCTTCCAAGAAAATAACAGTAAAGAGGAAATAAATGTGTGTGTGTGTGTGCTTAGTCAAGAAAATATACAAATTATATATATTTTGGATTCTATTTTTTAAACTCTCAAGGAAAATAAAAAGGAAATAAATATAGATATGCTTATTTAAAAAAAAGCTCGTCCTGGGGGAAATCGCAAAGTCATATTAAATTACCACTGAAGAGTTTAATTGTTTTTCGCTTTTTATCAATCATCTTTTAATGCCCTTTTGAAGAATAAATTTCGAGGACTGCGTTTTATTCAAACGAAAACAATTGTCCCTTTCACGATTTCTCGCATGATCTTTTAGCGCGTTCGCGCGCGCCATGAAGTAGCGCGTGGCTTGACACCGTTTACGCGACAGGATCAAAGATAAAGAAAAAAAGATGGAAAATAAAAAAGCAAGAAAGATGAAGCTTTCGCGATCTCGGCAGAACCTCTTCGCGAAAGCAGAGGTCCGCATGATACTTTAACGTCCACCTTTCACCGGCGTCTTTGTGTTTCAGTGGTTTATTGCGATTATACCGCCTCGGGAAGGTCACTACAGTTCCTCGAGGATTACATCGCGAAGGAGGTGCTGCCATGTTTGGGCGACACACGGGCCTCCACGTCCATCTGCAGTCTGCAGTCCTCTCTCTTTAGGTAAGCGACAATTTGGCTTAATGGACACGACAGTCCACGTCCTTCGGACAAATGTGCTTTTCGATTCGCATTCGGAAGTCGGTCAGTCCGCGCGTTACTATTGAATTCCATTGTAACGAGTATAGGATTGCGGAGAGAATGCAATTACATTTCGTGATTGACGAATTTCCGACGAAGGAGCTTTCATTTTACCGTTATTCGTTATGAACAGAGATTTTGCTTCCTCCACGTCGAGCCGTGGACCAATTATATTTTGATTTGATTCCGTATCTTCTTATACTTAGTAAATTCGACAAACGCCCGCTAAAAAATTGAAAATTTCCTGTATAATAAATAATTTTTTATATATTTTACATACTTGGAAATACATGATGTTTTAACATCCCTCAGGCGGACATCCTGCGTCCTTCGTTCTGACTTTCAGATCTAGTATCCTAGTTTCTGTCTGTTCCGTCGTGGACACTTGCGTAGATATGACAGTTTGATTAAAGAAATGTCTGTTAATAAATGCGATGCCGACGAAAACCTGATTAAATATCGTGGGAATCAACGGGAATAATAACTCGTCGATATACGTGTTTCGCGCCGTTGTATATACGTGGCTTGGCCATTCAGAACTTAATGATTCGGTTACAGAAAGTAGGAGAGACCAAGGCTAGTTGGCTACCAATATAAGTTGGTAAAACCAATTATTTCTGCTATTTTCTAATGAGTTACTGAATTTAGCAAGCGAGATTTTTAAATATGTCAAACATGGCTTTGAAAATCTTTGCTTACTTGATTTTGAACTCTGTTAAATAATAGTAGAAATAATCGATTTTGATAACTTACCCCGGTCTCTTCTACACAACAATACGAAAATATTACGTCATCACCCATCAATCCCCGAGATCGGACAGGATCCATTTGGAGCTACAAATACTTTTTTGGAATAAATAAAGAAAGATTATGATTGGATTATGATCTATATGGCGCTTCGAAGCATTTGCAGCATCAAAGATCCTACACATTGAATGAGATATCGAAACAATCAACGCATCAAAAATATCCCGGATTTTCAAACAAAATTAATTGCGGTAAAAATTGCGTTTATATATTGTACACTTGTCCGAATTGTGTGTGTCAGTTGCAAAACGGTTTGTTCACTTTTGACTGAATGAAAGCGATTGACAGTACTTTAAGTTGTCACAATTAACAGCCACTGATGTGCACGCGCGGCAATTGGTTATGGCAGAAGCCGAAATGACAGTATAGAATATAACAATATAAATCTGGAAAGAAGAATTTATTTTAAAGTAAGAGAGAACATATTATTTAAAGCAATTTTTTTCTATATATTTTATAAAATATAATATATCTGAGAAAAAATAATCATATATGAGATTTGGCGCCATATGACCATGTATAATTATATGTAATTACGTATGTTTACATTGAAAAAATGCTGTTGTAAAGACAGCAAAAGCGACATACCACTTTGTTTTTGGAGGTTATGTCTTAATGTAAAGCTTAAAATATAAATGTAAATATATATATACATATAGTTGGAAGTACCTCCTATCAGATAATATCATATTTTTACTGAAGTTGTTTTTAGATTTAAAATAAAAAATGTTTTTGTAAGACGCACGAAAATGGAGTTCAAAGAAAATGGGTGCCAAAAGCGACATATCTATTGGAAATTATATAACATGTTGCATATATGATAATATTTGATAATAAATAGTTCATTAATTTGAATAATGATTGAATAATATTTATTTATTCAAAATATAATGTTACAAGAGGGAAATATAATTAAATAAAAATATATCTTTGGCATTTCCATCTTTTTCATTTCTCACATATTTTACATATGTTATATTTTTAAACTAAACAAAATTAAACATATACAATACGACATGTCACAGTTGGAGATTAGAATCAAGTTATGCTAGTCACAGAGTATCGCACTTATCGCATACTGTAGGTATGTCACATTCTCATAAAATTTTCAAGTTATACAGTAAAAAAGCGATAAAAAGGTAAAAGTATTCAAAAAATATTTTTACTAAAACCAAATGCAATGTAGGAGAACTTAATATTGAACAAAAAGATAATTCTCGCTGTTTAGTCTACAGTAATTCGTCAATAAAAATCAGGAAATAAAACTTGCGAATTTTTAAAACTTGATATTTGCTAATTTAGCATATAAAAGAACAAAAAATATGAATTTTTCATGACTTAACTGATAAAACGAATTACGTTTATATTAGTTTCCATAAAATACAACATTTAATATATGAGATATAGAGATATGTCGCTTTAGGAGGCTTATGTCGCTTTTGACCATTTTCCTCTATAGATATAATTGAAGGAAGTACTTGTGTTTGTGACACATTGCCTGTGTCGTCCATGTTTATTGAATAAAATTATTTTTTTCTTTTCTCGTTTAAAAGCATTTCCTTCGTATGGTCATATATAATTAAGTATGATTATACACATGATCATCTATATGATAACGTCGCGCCAAATTTTGTACGTGAACCATGTATCATTATATATAATTCATATGTAGTTATATATAATTCATATATATGTAATTTATATATAATCATATATAATTTTATATAATTATATATAATCATTTTTTCTCGAGTAAGATTGCGTGACGATCTGTTGGATGGACGTCAGCAGTGGCTCGCAATTGTGACAATTTGAAGCGCTGCAACTTTAGTCGATAAAAAGTATGCAAATCATTTTGCGATCCAACATACATAACGTTTCCCGCGGAGCGATTGAAATGTTTTGTCGGCTCTTGAAGCGTTTAATCGCTGCTTGCTGCGATATTTCGAGCGGTGCTCTTCGTACCTTCGCGCAATTAAGTCGTTTATCGTCCGTTGCAGTTTCTAATCTTGTCGTTCGCGTTGAGGCGCGATTCGGCGGCGTTTTCGCGCGTCGTTTTGCGTTTTTCGCGATATCGAGCTCCCGGGGAGATATATCGCGGCTGGAAACTTTCTCGGATGCGACATAAATTCAATCCGTCGCGTCGCGCGTGGCTGTTTGTTCGCTGAAAAAAAAGAGGCGAGCAGAAAAACGCGGCCATCGTCGCCGACGTGGTCGTATCCACCGTTTATGCGTTATCGTCGTCGTTATCGCCGCCGCCGACGACGACGACGACTTTCAACTCGCGGCGTCCCCGCCTGCGAGGAAATATAGATCAGTCGCCTTTGAATCTCGTTCGGTCGCCGGGTCGACACTGCGTGAAACATTCTCGTCTCGACTCTCCCGTTTACTGGCGCTGATGTCCCAGATCAATATCCACCCTCCGAGGGAGAAGGAGAGAGAAAGAGACCGCGGTGCTTACACCGCGGCCGACGAGGAGACCGATAATGATGACGACACACGGCGCGGGATCCATCACGCGACAAACGGCACATTCGGTGACATGTTTGCACAATGTACAATAAATTGCCGCGACCTATAATTTCAATCCCACCAGCATGATTGCGTTATTTATCTCGAACGATGCGTAACAACGTCACTTTTGAAGAGAACGTGCGCTATTCCGAAGATTATGTTCCTTTTGCGATTTATATAACGACAATTCGTTATGCAGTCGCGATGCACAGATAGAGTCAAAATAATCAGAAGAGTCGGTTTGTTATTTACACAATACTTATTCTCCGTAATTCATTAAACTGCATGAACCAATGAGTGCAGGTAGAGTGAAGAGGTAGGACGGGTTCTGTAGACATATCTAATGGAAGATGACTTCCAGTTTGTAAGAAAAATGACTTATTTTTGATAATTTCTTAGCAGTGAGTAACTGCTGATTTCGAGAGGTGGAGGGCTGCACACTGAAAAAAGCATGCTTTCTTGAAATCAGCTGTTACCCCAAATAGAACAGAAGATCACGATGACGTCAAAATAACGAGGAAATGATCGAATCGTGATTGGAAAGTGAGAGTCGTCTTTCCATTGATGTTATCGTAATTTTTTGTTCTGCCTGGACATTCATCGTTGATAAAAGATTTAACTAAGTATTACAACTTCAATACTTAGTATTGAGTCTCAGTTGTTTTTTAAGGGGAGATACATATAGTTAAGGCTTATGACTTAAGAAATAAGCATATTGAATCTATCAGTCAAGTCAGACTTGGACAATTTAAAAGATTTTAGAAGTTATAAAAAGTAAATCATGTTTTTAACACACTGGAAGTCTTATTTCATTAGACATATCTGTAGGACCCGTTATACTGTTTTCTATGCGCTTATTTATTTACACGGTATAATTAATTACGGAATAAGTACTGCGAAAATGTCACAAAATGGTGTATAAATTTTTGGATTATTTTTACCCGTTCTATCTGTACACTGCGACTCCATAATGAATTGCCGGACACCCAGTATAGATGAGCACACACGTAATGCGAAACGACGTTAATAAAATCCAACCTAACCTAGCCTCCTACACGACCGTTTAATGAAAAAGTATCGATTTAATGCCGGTGTGTGTTCTTCGCTGAAGCGAGTACGATCGGGTATCCGTCGATACCTCGAGAAGATCGTTTGATTTTCCGAACCGACGCGTCTCATGCTACGGCGTCCGCGAGAAATCGGAGCTGTCGGTCGGCTGAATTTCGTTTACGGTCTTATAACGTGTGTCGCGGGATCGATTGAACTATGCAAACCGCAAAGTGTGCTTCGCTCCTCAACCCATGTCTCTTGTCGCTGAATCCATATTGACTCTACATCAATCATGTGAGCATGTTAAGAAAAATATATTTGGTATTTGTAATCATATAGGAAAATAATTACTATAAATTATGGTCAGGAAAACTTTTTTTAAATAAAATTCTACTATAATGTTAGTCATAATAATGCTAAAAGTTATATGCATGTTATTACTATCATTTATATACATATATATATATATATATATATATATATATATATATATATATGATATTATATATTTTTAGTTCTAATTAAAGACATACACACACACACACACACACTACCGTCCACAAGCTTAGAAGCAGTTATATTTTTGTATGAAATAAGAGATCGTTTGTAAATATTAGGAAAGCAACCGCTTATAATGAATATTTGTTGACATTGACGACTATTTTAGGTTAGAACACCAACTTTCTGTGCCTATAATTACATTATATTAAATAAAAGTTCAGTTAAATCAACCGATAACTTTAACGCGCACTGAGTTCAGAAATTGTAACTTGCGTCTATGAATGCTTGAATACAATTATTAAGATCCTATTTAATTAGAATATAATGGTTTAATTAGATATCGGAATTGAGGATAAACATTATATTTCTGTGATTTTAATATGACCAAAACGTAAGTGTTCAACTGCAAGTAGATAATAGCAAGAATTTATTAGTCATAGACACAAAGAGTTGGTGTTCTGGCGTAAAGTAGTCGTCAATGTTAATAAACGTTCATTATACCCTGTTGTTTTCATAATATTTACAAACGATTTTTTATTTCACACAAAATTATGACTGCTTCCAAACTTCTGGACGATAGTGTATATATCTTCGTATTAGAACTAAAAA